CTGTAGACATCTGCATCCCCAGGGACACTTGGTGGACACTCCAAACCCACCTGCTCCAAACCAAATGCACCTCGTGCTGCCCCGTCACTAGCTGTGCCCCCTCCTGGTCCCGTTGGGCCCTCATGTGCTGGCCCAGAGTGATGTCACTGGTTTGTGGCTGTGTCCCAAGCTTCATCTGAGGATGGCGAGGTTTCAGCTTCTCAAAACTGAAGAAGAAAGTCTGGTATTTTTGCAGGAAAATCTTGCCTCCATCTTGTTCTGCTTTGTGCCTCTGCAGATAGAGCTCCCCTGCACACCGTATCAGTCAGAATAGACTCGATGGTGCCATGTAATGAGCAGTAACAGATATATCCGGGGCTCTTGTAAAAAGCAGCTCCTCTTTCATGCATGCCTGTTGTCCATCGTGACCTGGTGTGGGAGCATGGCAGGGATGCTTCTCCCATCCAGGCCTCCGTCTTGTGACCCCAGTTAATTTGAGGCTTCAGGCTATTGCAGCAGAGAAAGAGCAGCTGGCAGGTAGTGCTGCAGCCATCTGCACAGGTACTGCTGGTCTCCACAGTTGTGTGGCCTTAACTTGGGGGTGAGGGTGGGAAATTGGAAAACCCACCTGCACAAGAGGACCAGCGGCCCCCCACCCTGCCCTTCCTAGTGTTACCCTCACAAGACCCCGAGTGCTGACCCTCACAGCCCTTAGCAGACCCCACCACCCAGCCTGGTGGCTGCTCTCAGGTCCTTAGAATGCCCTGCTCCCTGTTTACACCAAACCCCAGAGTGTGGCCTAGGGTGTACTGACTCCCTTTTATCTATTTACTTATCGAGATGGAGTCCCAGGCTGGACTGCAGTGGTGTAATCTTAGCTCACGGCAACCTCTGCCTCCTGGGTATAAGCAATTCTCCTGCCTCAGCCTCCTGAGTAGCTGGGAATGCAGGCGTGCACCACCATATCCAGCAAATTTTGGGCAAGTTTTGGCAAAATCAGGTGACACACACTGTAATCCCAGCTACTTGGGAGGCTGAGGCAGGAGAATAATTTTTGTATTTTTAGTAGAGAGGGATTTTACCCGTTGGCCAGGCTGATCTCAAACTCCCAACCTCAAATGATCCACCCACCTTGGGCTTCCAGAGTGCTGGGATTACAGGTGTGTGCCACCACACCCATCCTGCTGGCTCCCTTTTAAAAATGACTCTGTCCCTGCCCCTTCACTGATCTGTGTCCCCTCGGAGTCCTGGGGGCTGGTTCTGTTGGGGGAGAGTTTGGAGAAGACTGGCACTGGCTTCCACCTCATCCGTGAGTGCTAGGCCTTCCCCACCCCCCGGCCGTGCTGCCTGCTGGCCCTGGAACAAAGCTAGTGCAGGTCTTGAGGCCAGGCTGTGGCCCTGCCCCTGGGCTCAGGAGCTGCACAGTGGCCGTGCAGGCTGGGCTGACTGGTGGCCTCTTGCAGACATAGTGTGCATGTACCGTGTGGAAGAGATCCTCAAGCTGGTGGCTACAGAGCACCCTCCTTCCAGGGACAACAAGTGGGTGGTCCAGAAGTACATCGAGACACCAATGCTCATCTACAACACCAAGTTTGACATCAGGCAGTGGTTCCTCGTCACAGACTGGAGCGCCCTGACCATCTGCTTCTACAAGCAGAGTTACCTGCAGTTCTCAACACAGCGCTTCTCACTGGACAAGCTGGACAGGTCAGTGCAGAGGGCGAGCTGGACACCTCAGGCCAAGAAATGGGCTGCTGTCCTCACCCGTGGAGCAGCCGCAGTGAGAAGCGGTCCCAGCAGGGCCCCCTCACTGCCACCTGCCACCACAAGAGGCACAGGTGGGGAAACTGAGGCTTCGGAGGCTGATGACCTCCTCCTGGGACAGGCTTAGGCCCACCAGCCTTCAAAGCCAGTGCCCTACGCCCCACGCTCTGTGCATCTTCTCTGGAAAATCTTAAAAGGCACCATTTTGCCTGTGCCTGCGGGTATCAGAATGGTGTGGACAGCACCTGGACCCCAGTGCAGGGCAAGTGATGTGTGGGGTGCCTGGCGGAGGCTCAGACATCCGTGAGCCCAGGGTGGAGAGAGCCCTGCCTCACCCAGTCCCTCATGGACAGGATGGCAAGAGCTGATGATGTCCTCAGGAGCGTGCTGTCCACACGGCGACGTCTGCCAGCCTTTGCGCCAGGCTTCCTTCTGACTGTTGTGTGACCCTCGCTTGGTGTGAGGGGCTGGGGGACCTGATGGCTGGGCAGGAGTTGGGGCTGCTTTACAAGGGAGTGACAATCCAGGGAGGCCCGAGAGTCACTTAACAGAGACCTTGCGGGTGTTCAACTCTGGCCCAGGCTGGGGGCTGCGGTCATGCTGGATGTTGCGCTGGAAGTCACACCCAGAAGAGGGCCTGGGAGGAGCTGGCCTGGGGCCTTGACTCTCACCCGCCCGCTGCCTCTGGTCAAGTGTGCCTGGAGGGGGTCCAGGAACTCACCAGCGCAAAAGCAGCTCCTGCGCAGTGGGAAGCCAGGGCCCCTTCCAGCCCCTGTCCCTAGGCCTCCAGCCGACAGCCGTGTGCTGTGTGCCGTGTGCCTGGCCAATCTCAGGGCCTCTCTGAGCCACTTTTCCATCTGGGACATAAACATGCATCCCAGTGATGGGAGAGTCCCTGACATCGGGTCAGATGCATACTGACAAAAATTAAATAAAGGGGTTAAATGTTAGCCCTGCAGGTCTGAACCCTGAGGAGCTATTTTTGCTAAAACACTCTTCTACGTGCCTGCCTCTTCTTTCTTTTCATTCAGTGGAAATATAACCTACATACAGTCATGGGCGGTCTCATCTCCCCCCGCCAACCAACAAGGTGGAAAATTCCTGGCCCAACACACCTACAATGGAAGTGAAAATGCTTTTGACATACATACAGCATAGTGCAATCTCCTAAACTATGTTAGTAGTTTTAAATCCTGTTTAGAAATAGGGCAAGAGTATAGCTAAATTACTGACAATTTTAGGTAGGTGACTGTTTCTCACCCTGTGTCACCAGCATCCCTCTGGCCACATGCAGATGGGGAAACTGAGGCTCAGGGAGGCTCTTACTTGCCAGCAGCACCTAGTTGGGGACCCTGGGCTGGTAGGCTTCTGCCCTACCCCCAAGTGCATTCCATGGCATCTGCCCACTGGACTGAGGGTTGGCTGTCCTGGGCTGTGTCAGCTGGGTAGCCAGGAGAGTCCCCCGAGCCAGCCTGGGTTCCTCTGGCAGGGCGTGGGAGTCCTTGGGGACGAGATTCTCTAGAGCCAGCTGAGTGGGCGCAGCACGGTTGGGAGGACCCACCTTGGGCGCCTTCCTGGGCTGGAGACTGAGCACCTGCCCCTCGACCCCTGCCCCCACCCCACGCAGCGCCATCCACTTGTGCAACAACGCCATCCAGAAGCACCTGAAGAATGACGTGGGCTGCAGCCCTCTGCTGCCAGCACACAACATGTGGACCAGTGCCAGGTTCCAAGAGTACCTGCAGCGCCAGGGCCGCGGTGCCACGTGGGGCAGTGTCATCTACCCGTCCAAAAGGTGCCCATCACCCACATCATGATGGTGGCGCAGGATCACGTGGAGCCTCGCAAGAACAGCTTTGAGCTCTACGGGGCCGACTTCGTGCTCGGGAGGGACTTCAGGCCCTGGCTGATCGAGATCAACTCCAGCCCCACCATGCACCCGTCCACGCCTGTCACGGCCCAGCTGTGTGCAAAGGTGCAAGAGGATGCCATCAAGGTGGCCGTGGACCGCAGCTGTGACATCGGCAACTCCAATCTCCTGTGGAGGCAGGTGAGCCTTGCCCGCCCCTGCCCGGGTGGTGGGTGCCATCCTCTGGGGGGTTTGGTGGCAGGCCCCTGTGTGTACGCTTTGCCTCCTGATTACTCAGCGAGGGTGGAGCCACAGGCCGCCAGCCCCAGAGGGTCCATGGAGGATGCTGATCCCACTCCATGACTCCCGCTCCGTGATCCAGGCCTGCCCTGCCCTCCCGTGGGACTTGATGCCTCATTGGCACTGAGGAAGGGGCTGCTACAGGCATCTGGGTGTGTGGGGCAGCCCTGCTCGCTCAGCTCAGGGCTCTGTCCAGCTTTCCTCCCTCGTTCCCAGCCCCACCCAGCCCTGACTGATGTTGGAGATGGGGGCTCTATGCTGGCAGCCTCCAGGCCCAGTGTGCTGCTCCTTCCCTTTGGCCTGCAGTGTCTTCCACTCCGAGGATATTTTGGGGGCCTCCTTCTCCCCTTGGTACCTTCCTGGGGGGTGAGGCCTGTGCCTGGAGATGTGCTGGAGCCATTGGGAAGTGTGGCCAATGCCTCTCTCTTGAGGCCTCTTTGTGGCTAAACTGGAGAAAAGGGCAGTCCAGTCCTTGGGTGTGGGGTCCTCTAGATTGCCCCTCCAGCCTCAGGAAGTCTGGGCTCCCCGCAGGCTCTACAGAGCCTGGGAGCCTCCTGAGGGTCTGCATGGGACCCCAGGTGTACACTCCTGAGTCGGGCAGGGGTCTGTGTCCTGACCAACCCCTCCTGCATAGACTCCACCATCCTGGCCACATCCCAGCACCCCCAGCCTGTGCCTTCCCCTCAGCCTGTGGTCAAGCTGCCCCTATTCAGCAGGTCTGACCTCTGTGTGGCGAGCATTGGTATGAGGAGGGTAAGAAGGCAGGTGCTGCCCGTCTGCAACCTCAAGGCCTCAGCCTCGCTGTGGGACGCACAGCTGCTGAAGGCACAGTGCCCCCTCGCCATGCTGGACCCATACAACCAGCTCTCCAGCGAGACCTGGGACTGAGGGATGAGAAGGGGCTCCCTCTGGCCTTGCCGGCACCCCTAAAAAGGCCAGCCAAGAGCAGCAGAGCCACACAGCCCACCCGCACCAAGGCTGCCAGGAAGGCGGAGCTCCCTGCTTGCCTTTGCCGCCATGAGGACAGTCAGGCCCTGAACACCTGTGACCCCGAAGCCCAGCCTACCAGATACTCAGATCCAAACCTGTTTAATGTGTACCCCTGGCGCCTGTGCTGCAGGGCCTGAAGACAGGAGGGCACCCTGCATCTGCCACCCGGAGCCCTAGGTAACGCAGGGGTGTGGGGGCCACCTGCTCCATCCCCAACCCTCCCTCACCATCAGCCACTGCGCCCTCCAGGATAGGGTGCAAAGCAGGCTTCGATGCTGGGGCCCGGGTGTCCCCTGACGGAGGTGCGGGTGTGAGCTTGGGAGGGGGTTTGAGGCATGTGGCACCTGTTCCAGCCCCGCATGGGTGTCTGGGTGGTGGAGTGGGAGTGCTGGCCAGGTGGATAGTGGGGTCTACTTTGTAGAACCTGGAGGGTGATGCCTTTCTCAATATCTCTGGGGTGTGGTGCAGGTCGGGAGGATTTGTGTTCAGGCCTTGAACCGCGCCATGAACAGCATAAACTCCCTGGCTGAGCAAGGTGGCGAAACTGACCACTGAGCTTTTGCGTCTGGTTTTCCGAAGGCTCTGAGGGGCTGAGGTTACAGGTGGAGCCACCACGCCTGGCTCCTATCGGGCTCTTCTGAGCCCTGGCTAAACCTTCAGAATCAAGGGGCTGCCACTGGCTGCTCTTGGCCTCAGAGTAGCTGAGAAGGATGTGGGGCTGGGATGAGGCTGGCCAGCAGGCAGCTTCACCTGTTCCTCCCGCTCAAGGGTTTTTATGAGGGCATGATGGGGTCTTTAGGAGGCCGTGGTGGGGTCTCTAGGAGGGCGCGGCAGGGTCTCTGTGAGGGCACGGCGGGGTCTCTATGAGGGTGCAGCAGGCCCTTTACAAGGGCATGATGGGGTCTTTACAAGGGGTCTCCAGGACAGCACGCAGGTGTTGCCACCTCCTGATTCCCACTGAGGTTCAGGGGCTGGGACTCCACTCACGAGATGCCGCCTGTCCCACAGGAGGCTAAGTCCCTCCTGCAGCTCTAAGGTGCCAGTGTGCCCAGATGGCCTGCACCAGCTGCAGCCTCTTATGGGGACAGAAACACCCTCAGCCTCAACACTCCCACCTCCTTACTGACCTGTACAGCCACTGACCTGCCCTGGGACTCTGGGGGGCTGCCCCAGCTGCTGGCCCTCATCTGCAGGCACTGCCCTGTGCCTACCACCCACTTGGTCTGGCCCAGGTCAGCACCAGGCATCTGAACCTGAGCCCAGGCACAGCAGCGCAGGAGGAGTCGGGGTGGGAGCTGCTCTTCTTCAAATCCCCCGGCTGGTTGGGTCCTTCTAGGCAGGACTCACCTCGAG